CCCCCCCCCGGCGTCCGAGCCCCTTCCTCTGGGCTCCCCAGTGTGGTGCATCACCCAGACGGGCCTCTTCTGCCCACGGCCCAGAGCCGGAGCCCGCACAGCTGAGCGACCAGCCGCAGGGCACAGGAAGCAGCTGAGCTCTGCCTGCCTGGCTTCCACTGGGCCTGGAGGTCTTTCCAGGGAGGAAACCACCGTGGCCGAGGAGAGGCAGGAAAGGGTCGTGTCTTTACTCCAGGGCCTTCCGGAGTGTTCCATGGGCAGAGCAGCAGTCCAGAGCTGCCCTGGACGCGGGGCTGCTGGGGCGTTCAAGGCACCGCCCAGGCAGGGAGCTCGAGCTGCTGCGGACGCCAGTCCCTGCCCTGAGGCTGGACCAGGGCAGCCTGAGCCTGGCTGACCTCCCTGCTGGTGGGGCCCATGTCACATCCTGTCGGGCGGGGTGGGCAGGCTGCCTCTGGCTGTCCTTGGCACTGCCCCGGCTGGCTCCAAGGTTTTAGGAGGGTCTGCAGAGGGTCTGTGTGGCAGCAGCCTAGCCCTTGCCCGTCAGCTGCAGGGGAATGTGGGTCAGTGGTGAGATGTGGACGGTGATTCCCACGGAGCTCCAGGGCCCGGGTCGCGGCCCTTACCGGAACACGGGGACGTGGTGCTGTCTGGGCCTCTGGACCCTGCACGCCCAGAGGGCACGTGCACGAGAGCGAGACAGACGGTCCCCTGGGGGCTGCGGTCACGCCATAGTCCTTGCCCTCCGTTTCTCCAACACCTCAGGGCTCAGGATGGGCGGGGAGTGGAGCCGCAGTCGGCCAGGTGCAGGCTGGCTGGCTGTGCGCAGTGGGGCCGGCCCGCTCCTAGCTGAGGACCTGGTCTGGCGTGGTGCTTGAGGTGCTGGGTCCCACACGGCCCACTGCAATTCGTGTCCCAGACCACAGCTCGGAACCACGCGGGGCACGGACGCAGGCGTGGCCATCCCCCGGGGGGAGATTTTCTACTTTCCTCCTCTCTGTCTCTTTGGCAGGCTTACGCCCTATAACAAAAATCTTAATAAAAAACAAACAAAAGAACCCCAAATCTGTCACCAAGCCCCTCGTGCCTTCCAGGAAAAAACCCATATTGGTCTGTGACCCGCGGAGGTAGCAAGACCTTGAGCTGGCATGGACCCGTGTCGCTGTCCCCAGAGTCTGTCCACTCTGCCCCTTCGTCCAGGTGGGGTCCTCCACCCAGCAGTGGGCACTGGCAGAGCCCGTGGGCTTGCAGAGTCTCAGAGACATCCCAGGGCAGGGCCAAGCCCGACTTACCAAGAGCGAATTTGTACTCCTTGTCCCTAAGCAGCCAGATAGCAGCATGGGGCCCACTCAGAGCAGGCAGGGCGGGGAGAAGGCCGGAGCTGCTGGGAGGTAGCAGCTGGTCCGTCTGTCCGTCCTCGCCTCCCGGGTTGTGCTCAGGCACCCCTGTTCTCAGGTCCTTGTCCTCGCTGGTGACCGCTGCCTGGTCCTGTCTATGACGTCCTGCTTAGGCGTGACTGCAGCAGTGGGATCTGAAGTCGACCCCCGAGGGAGGGGGGCAGGGGGCAGGCCTAATGGCCAGGGTTCCCTGAGAAAGTGGAGGGGAGGGCTGTGGGGTCCACTGGGAACACCTGGGGTTGGGGTGGGGGAAGGGCAGTCCAGGGCAGGGGCGGCTGCTGGGCCTCTGCTCTGCTGGCTGGCCACCCTCTCAACCCCCTTGGGTAAAGGGAAGGAAAACCCCATAGGACGCCCGGACGGGGTGGGAGCCTCCGTGCTCCCCAGGTGCCTGGACGGCTGCTGTCGGGTGGTTCCACCCACATGGCTTCTGGAGCTGTCTCCGTACTGGCTCCCCGTCCCTCCTCTTCTCCCTCAGGTCGATGTCTGGGTGTCTGTGGAGCCTGGGAGAGCGACATGTGCCAGGAGGGACGGGGATTGCTGCTGTGGGGACAGAGGGTGTGGTTGGCACGACAGGCTCAGGCCATGGGAAGAGACGTGCCCTGCCCCTCCTGGCCACGTCCCTGCGTGCCTGCTGTGGGAGCTTCCTTCCTAGGAGGCAGGTGGCAGGACCTTGTGGGCAACAGCGTGACAGGGCCAGATGCTTCGTGACCTATGGCCAGACCCTGGTGGGTGATCCGGGGTCCCCACAAGTTCTGGTGCCCTGCCCAGCACTCCAGCCCTTGTCCCCTGGCCCAGCGGCCCTGCCCATGCCACCTTGCCCTCTGGAACTCCCTCGGCCCCGTCTCCCTGAGTGAGCAGAGCTGGCAGCCTTCCCGCCTGGCACCATACCGGGCTGGCCCGGGGGTCCACGTCCCGTGCTAGCGTCCCCTGCGCGTGAGTGCAGGTGTGTGGAAGGCAGTGTCACCCCGAGCTGCACTCTGCACCCCTACCCTGGGCCTTCATTTGGGATGGGCTGCTGGGGAGGCTTGCACCCGGGGCACAGGGCTTGTGGCACCTGCTTGCCTGGGCTGCAGCCGGCCGGCTCCCTGTCACGGGTCCGTGTAATGGTTGCCACTTCCTTGACGTGAACGGGCAAGAAGCCGTGTGCTCCCTGGCAGATCACACGGGGCCACCGTGGCTGGCAGTGCTGACCTCTCGCTTATCTCCCCGCAGGCCCTTTCCTTCCGAGGAGACTGCGGAGAACGATGATGATGTCTACCGCAGCCTGGAGGAGCTGGCTGAGTAAGGGCGCCGGCCGGGTGGGGGGCGGGCCGGGCAGGCAGCAGCCCAGGGGCGGCCCTGGGCTCTCCCGCCCTGAGTGTCCCCAGTCTGGTCGTGGTGTATGTGATCCCCTTGCCTGCATGGCCACATGAGTGGCTTCCTAGTGACCCCAGAGAAGGGCAGCGTATCAACCCACACCTCCCCGTGTCCGCGTAGACCCCAGCCTGCCTGGGTCAGCCCGCCAGCCTCTGCTGGTTCTGCCGAAGCTCACCCTTCCTGTGGGCTGCTTTCCCGGTGGGCCGGTTCGAGGAGTGGCTGGTGCAGGGGTGCTGCAGCGTGGGTAAAAGCAGGAGTCCATGGCCTCGGCTTGTGTCCTGGCCTGACCCGGGGCACGAGCTGGCCTGGGACAAGGCCACGTGAAGCCATAGACAGCACGTCCCCTTCCCCGGAGCCCACCTGTCTCCCTGTGTCCGCTCGCTCCTCTGAGAGGACCCCTGTGCGCGACCCACATGGCCCCGACCTGTGGCCCGCCTGGTCTGGAGCCCTCAGGGGTCTGGCTCTGTGAGGGCAGCTCGGGCCGGGCTGGGGTCTTCCCTGGAGGGGGCAGTGGACTGGAGAGGATGGGGTGCCCCATCCCACAGGCAAGGGGCCCTGTAGCCCGCTGCCCTTCCAGGCCTGGTGGAGATGGCGCCTCGGGTCAGTCCTGGCCTGCAGTGGTGGGTTTCTTTGCTCCTAGACACGCCGTGCGCTGCGGAGGGCTCCTGCCGTCTCTGCCTTCATCCTGCGTGCAGGCACAGGGAGGGAGTCCTCGTGAGAATGAGCGCCTGCCACGTGCGCACGCCGGGCTGTGCTTGCCCTGCTCACACCACGGTGCGGGACCTTGGGTTGGCCCAGAGTCGCTCTGCAGGACCCGTATGCAGACGCTCTGGGTCCACACAGCGGCGTGCACTGTGCCGCTGCCGAGCGTGTGGGGCTCTGGAAGCAGCCCCTTGTGTGCCAGCAGCCCGAGTGACCCGGGCTGGCCCAGGGCGCTGGGCTGCCCCGTCGGTGGCTCACACCCCGCGTCTCCTTCCCAAGGATGCCCACCCAGCCTGCGGCAGGCCATTACTCCCGGCTGACTGGCACGAGGGTGGGTAGAACGTCCACACCTTTGTGGCAGGGACAGGCACTGGGGGTTCATCCGGTGTACCCCAGCCCAGATCGCCCTGTGAGGTTCGTCATGTCGTCACCTGCGTTTTACAAATCAGGAAACCAAGGCCCAGAGAGGGGATGCCGCTGGCCCATGTCCTTCCGCTCAGAACTGGCAGAGCCGGGTTCGGCCTCAGCTCTGCCCCTCTGCCTTCCGCTGTGGTGGGTTCCTGGAGCCCGGGAGCCCCGCCAGGGCCGAGAGCACACTCCTGAGCTGCTGGCTCCGTGTTGCCAACCCGAGGTTGGGGTCTGAGCCTGTGGGAATGCCCTCCATGGCCGGTAGAGGGGCGGGTGACCCTGGGAGGAACGGAAATCGACCGTGTGTGGCTGGGGCCAGCGTGAGGCACCCCGTGGGAGGGTCTCCTGGTGGAGCCGGGGTCCTCCGCACTGTGCTCGAGGTGGCCAGGCCTGCCCAGTGGCCCCGAGGACCCTGCGTGGCGAGTCCTCCTCCCTCCTTGCTGCCTGGCCTGATGGAGGTGAGCTCGAACTGCGGCGTTAGCCGGGGCTGCTCTCCCAAGGACGAGCGCCGGGGCCCGGGCCCTGCCAGACCAGGGCTGTTACTCCAGGCCGTCAGGTCTGAGCCTCCTAGTCCTGGGGTCCTCGTGCCTGCAGTCGCTGTCAGGATGTCATACAGGGAAGGGGGCTGAATTTGAATCGTACCTTGTGGTTTGGTCTCAGTGGCTCGCATTTAATAAGTTTTTCACGCTTTTGTGTTTTCTCCTACTTTTCACTGAAAAGCGAAGTTTCCTAGCACGCGGCCCTGCGGGTTTGGTGCTGACACTAGGCCGCGGTGGAGCTCCACAGACACACAGAAACGCTGGGGCTTCCCTGCGCCCCTGGGCAGAGCAGTAGCGTGGTTCGGGGCAGGGGCAGGACGTGGCCAAAATCGGAAGTCTGCCAGTGGCCAGGAAGGGGACAGTGGGCCAGGGACACACTGCTGCTTTTCCTAGGCTCGTGGCCAGGTGTCAGGAAGGGTGACCGCTCCCAGCCTTGGGCCTCAGGCCCTCCTGGCTGTCTGGCGGAGGGTCCATGCTGGCTCCTAGGCGGAATCCTCCCAGGGCACCTGGAGTGGCTTTAGGAGGGCACGTGAGAGCCCATCTATCCTCTTCTCACTCCCAGACCTGGCTGTGAGCCCGAGCCCCGACACCCACTTACGTGGCCTTCGGTGCGCCGCTGTCTCTCCGCGCCTCGGTGTCAGCGCCTGCTTCATGGGACTGCAGGGAGGGAGCCAGGGACGCTGAGGATAGTGTGAGTGGGAGGCAAGCACACCGCGGGCCCTGGCGGGCAGACACGCAGTTCTGTCACCCTTTCTAGAACACGACTTCCTCTGGAGTCCCCCGTGGCTCTGGCAGCGCTGTCAGTAGAAGTTGGGCCCGAGCCACCCCTAGCAGGTGTACGAAAATGCAGGCTGGCAAGGTAGTTTAGGTGTGTCTCATCTGACCCAGCAAATGGGTCAGTACCCAGCAGTTCCGCTGTCGTCGGCGCAGCGGGTCCCGGGCGAGGCGGCCAGTGTGCCTCCAGTTGCTGTGCGCGCCCTGACTGGGGTGTGGTTTGCGTTCGGCATAGCTCAGTCCGACTGGCCACATGGCTGGGGCCCCGTAGCCAGGCAGCATGGGCCTGGGGTCTGGTGTCCTCTGCAGAGCCTGTGTGCACCAGCCAGAGCCGGCGGAAGTAGGTGCTCAGGCCCCGAAGCTCACGTACAGATCTTTGAAGAATGGATAATCAGCTCACAGGAGCAACTGCTTGAAAAAATTAACACAGATTACTGCTACTTACAAATGCTTTTTTAGGCAACATAGCCCAGAGAAGAGGCCTGCTTTCGAACCGGGCTTACAGCCCTGTGTTTACAGGAGGCCTTGCCCAGGGGCGCTGTGCTTGACTCACTGGCCTGCCTGTCAGTGCTGGACGGATGGCATGCTGGGGGTGGCTGCCATGGCAGCACAGTGGGGCTCAGGAAGCTAGGAAGCCTTCACAGAAGAGGTGATGGTTGGGTCTCAGAACTGAGCAGGAGCTTGCTGAGAGCAGGGTTTCTCCGCAGCAGGAGCAGCTGTGTGAGATCTGGCCAGGCCCAGTGCTCCCAGCGAATGAGCCGGGGGGGACAGTGGGATGAAGGCCTGGTGGGATGGAGGCCCGCTGACCCGGCTGTAAGGACCCTGCAGAGACCAGGGTCGGGCTGCTCCTGTGCAAATCTGGCATACCATGGCACTCGCAAGAAATCAGAATTTTTGAAGCTCCAGGGGCTGCAGGGAGACCGTGCAACCCACGCGTTTCTGTGCCTCAGAACTAGAGGATCGTGGTGTAGCTTTTTGCCCAGAGCGAGCCTGGGGTGACGGGGACTCCTAGTTTCTCATCACTGGCCACAAAGAGCCCTGCTTGGCTATCCTGGCTGGAGCGGTGGGGAGGGAGGTGGAGGCCGTGGGCCTTCGGGGTCAGGGACAGGTGCGTTACGCTCCCTCCTCCATTTCGGGAATCCCTGGCTGTGCGCTGCCCCGCCGGGAGCCTCCTGATCCCCACGGTGGGGTCCGGCCATCACACAGGCCCGAGTGGAGGAACCGCCACGTGAGAAGGGCTCTGTCCCTCCAGTGACTGTGGGGACGAGTGATTCTGGGCTCTGACTCAGCTCTGTCTAGAACGTTGTTCTGACCCCTGGGGGCATCTACCAGGAGGTGTTCTTCTGTCCTTGAAGGGGCAGGAGACCTCGGGCAGCCACCTTCCGAGCGGGCGGTTTCCTGGCGGCTCTGAGTGGTCGCCCTGTGGATCTGAGCCCAGGGCTGCCTCTCTTCCTGTGCAGCCTGCGTGCGGGAGGCCCGGGTCCTGGCTCTCTGGGGCCTGCTCCCTTTCCTTCTAGGAGCCTCTGCAGGTGCAGGTGCAGGTACAGGCATGGGCAGCTGGAACGCGTGGGTAGAGGCCAAGGTCAGTGCCCACCCCGGCCGAAGCTGCCCACCCTGGCTCTCATGGCACTCTGTTCCTCCTGCAAGTTAGTGCCTCCGGGACCTCAGTGTCCCCACTCGAGTGGAAGCGTCTGCCCCGTGATCCATGGCCCTGAGCGTGCAGAGTGCACCATCTGGGGATTTAGGAGCCTGCTCGGCTCAGCATGCGCTGCAGTCTTGGGACTGGGGTGATTTTGGGCTTAAACAAACGGCCATGATGTGGCGGGGAACATAATCTATCTGTGAACGTGTAGCCGCATGCTTTATTACACCGTAAAACGACTTAGCAGCTCTCAATGTGTCATGTTAGCGTCGTCGGGATAATTCTTTAAGGTACATAAAACATGGGAGGAGCTTTGTGTAGCGGAGGCTGGGATGCCCCCCCCCGGGGGGGGGAGTGACTGGGCACTGGCCTGGACGGCCTGCAGCTTCCCCCACTGCCCTTGACCCGGGCCTCCTCCCCGTCTGTGGTCCTGCAGGCGGGCTGCCGCCCCACCCTGTGCCCACCCTGCGCCCACTCTGCCCACATCTCCCAGCGGAGCTTACTTAAAAGCCGCCTCCCACGCTTGCAGAAGTCCAGCTGCACGCAGGGGGTGCCTGGACATAGTGACGCTGTGTGTGGGGCCTGGACTGAGTCGGACCTGGGGACGTCGTGTTCCCCCCGAGCCACTGCTTTTCCCAAGGGGATGAGTGAAAGCAGGTGCCACAAAAACAGCTCGTTAAAACAACAGGCAAACGAGCCCCGGCCCTGTTGGACAGCCCCTCCCAGAGGGCGGGTGTGGACGGGCTGCCCTGGAGCCGAGTGCCCGGCCGTGGTGGGGGAAGTGGGAGACGGAGGACAGATGGGGGCCCCCCAGTCCTCGGCCTTCCCCTGCCCAAGGGTCAAAAATGGCGCGTCGTTTT